CCTGTGCAATAGTAATAAGTGTTTCATTTGGGTAGAGGATGAATTGGATAGGAGAGAGGATGAAGGCAGGCTCACTCAAAAGGCTAATGCAACATTTCAGGTAAGTAATGATGAAGGTCTGAGATGATAACAACAACAACATTTTAATATAATAAAACAACTAGCCTTTATATAGCACTTTAAGGTCTTCAAAACACTTTATATATATTAGGCAGCGAGGGGCACAGCGGATTGAGTGCCAGGTCTGGAGTCATGAAGAAATGAGTTCAAATCCAGACTCAGACACTTAAACATCTATTTGCTTCATTTTCCTCAACTGTAAAATGGAGATAATAACAGTACCTACCCCTCAGGGTTGCTGTGAGGATCAAATGACAATATTTGTAAAGTGCTTAGTATAGTGCCTGGCACATAGAGAACGCTTAATAAATACTTCTCTCCTCCCACCCCTTTAAAATTGAACAATTATGAGGTAGAAATCAGAACATATTTAGCCTCAATATATTTCTACTTTTTCTCTTCCCTTCTGCCTTCCCTTATCTTATTTAATCTTCTCCACAATTAATGAGTTAGGAGCTATTATTCCCAATTTACAGGAACCCAAAGTGGGGTTCCTCTAGGTGAGGAACCCAAGACTGAGAGAGGCTAAGTGACACACCCAGAGTCACACAGCTGGTAAGCATTTGAGGAAGGATTTGAATTCCAGTCTTCCTTACTCCAAATCCAATACTACTCAATCCACTGGGCCACCTAGCTACTTGACAAAGTCACAAAACAAAAATGGTTGAAGAAAGAAGGACAAGAAATATTGTGAACATGGAATTCACAGGACGATTGGTTTGGACTCAGCCCACAGGAATGATGAGATCACCAAGAGATGAAGGAAAAGAATAGAGCCCTTAGGATACAATCTGGAAGAGGGGAATGAGACTCAGATAATGATCCAGCAAAGAAGATTGAGAAAGACTGATCAGGCGGGTAGTAGGAGAATCAGGAAAGCACAGAGTTATGAAAACCCATGGAAGAAAGATTGTTTAGGAGGGGATATAATTTAACAAGTGTTAGATACTGCAGAGAAATCAGGATGAAGATTCAGAAAAGACTGCTGGATTTAGCAGTTAAGAGATAGTTGATACGCCCATGGAAGGAACATTTTCAGTTTAGTGGTGGGATTGCAAACCAAATTGCAAGGAACTAAGAAGAGAATGGGAAATGAGAAAATGGAGGCAGCAGGTATTGGTAAGAGATTGGCAAGAGAAAGTAATGGTAGCAATGTGAACCATCACCACCAGAACCAGCCTTAGGAACCCTAACCTGCTCTGGCTACACAGCAATTGAGGGAGATAGTCGGCAAGGGAAAATAGATATCTCTGGTCAGCTAGTACTGGCAGATCAAAGTAAACTAGCAGAATGGATTAGTATGGGGGGCAACTTGGTCAGCCAATCAGTCAACAAGCATTTATTAGGCACCTACCATGTGCCAGGCATTATGGTAAGTGTAAAGGATTTAAAGAAAGGCAAAAATAGTAGTTGCTCTCAAGAAGCTAAAATTCTAATGGGGAGGAAAATGTGCAAAAAACTATATACAAATAAGAGCAAATTGCAGGTAATCTCAAAGGGAAAGTACAAGCATTAAGTGGGACCTCAAAAGGCTTCTTGCAGAAAGCAGAATTTTAGCTGAAACTTAAAGAAAGCTACAGTAACCAAGAGGCAGAGATGAGGAAGAAGAGAATTCTGGGTGTGTGAGATAGTCAGTGAAATTGTATGGAGTTGGGAGACTGGAGTATTGTGTATGAGAAACTTGCAAAGAGGCCAGTATCAATGGATCAGAATATGTGGAAGAGAGTAAGGTGAAGGAAAACAGGAAAGATAGGAAGGGGCCAGGTTATGAAGGGCTTTAAAAACATGCCCAAGGTCACACAGCTAGCAAATGTCTGAGGATGCATTAGAACTCAGATTTTCCTGACTCAGGCTCAGTGTTATATGAACTGTGCCACTTAGTTGCTGGTTAAGTATGTCTATAATAAGACAGAGCACCTACTTGCCCTTGATGAATTCAAGTGTACCTTGCATAAATGAACTATTTCCTCAGGTACTTAAAGAATTGATGGATGTTGCTGAGTAATTATCATAATTGAAATATCATAGAGAATAAGGGTGAGGTACATAGTAGAAAAAATACAAATACTGTCCCAATTTTCAGAAAAAGTCTGTAAAGTATAGGCCAGTGCACTTGATTTTAATTGCTGGGAAAGGTGCTGTCAGACACAGTTTGTGTGAGAAAGATCTCACAGTTTTACTGAACTGTAAACTTATTGTGAATCAGCAGTGTGATTTGGCAGTCAAAAGAGCACTGCAATCAAAAGGCAAAGTTTTCTGGAACACAGACATGATAGCTGTTCTGGACTCAGCTGAGGTCAGACCACACCTGGAGTAGTGTGTTTAGTTCAGAGTGCCATGGTTTAAGGAGGACATTAATAAGCTGGAGATCATCCCAAGGATGGTGAAAGGCTTTGAGTCCATGCCATGTAAAGAAAGGCTGAAGGAATCTGGTGAGAAGATTCAGGAGGGATCTGATAGCTATCTTCAAACATTTGAAAGGTTGTAATAGGAAGAGGGATTAGATTTGCTCTGTTTGGCCCCAGAGGGCAGAACGAGGAACAAGGGAAGGAAGTAGCAAGGAGAAAAACTTAAATTTGCTGTCAGGAATGACTTCCTAGCAATTAAAAAGTAAACAGGGCCACCTTGGGAGGTGGTAGTTCCTCCATCCTGGAGGTCTGCAGGCATAGTCCAGATGGCTATTTGTAGGGTATGCTATAGTGGGGATTCTTTTCCTCTATTGGTTGGACTAGATTAGGCTGTTGAGGTTTCTTCTCACTCTCAAATTCTGTATGATTCCATGACCTGAGGTCATTATAACTTTAAAACAATGGATTTAGAAGGAGTGGGGCAGTGGGATGGCTGAAGCACAGGAAATCGTGATCAAAGGGTGATTTTAGAGTTTGAGCTTTTGGATGAAGAAGAGTTTCAGGGGATTGGTTAGATTAGGTCAAAATACCAAAAACACCCTCCTTTGCCTTCTTACTCTTCTTCTGTCTTCCCCTGTTGTATTCTTACCCATGATTCAAGATGCAGATTAATTCAGTTCAATTCAACAAATATTTATATTTAACACTACTATGTTAGGGCCTGTGTTAGCTGCCCGGTATACAAAGAACAAAGTTACCTCCTCCACAAATTCTTCCCTGATCCCTTCAAGGCAAAAATTGTATTTCAGCTCAATTCAATTCAATAAACATTTATTAAATACCAACTGTCTTTCCTCCTCAGATTCAGCAAGTACATATTAAAAACCTACAATCTATGTGATATTATGCTAAGTAAGGACTAGGGACACGAGGAGAGGGAGAAAACAGTTTCTGCTGTCAAGGAGCTCACGGCATACTTATGTGCCATTGCATGCATCTGAATATATACGTTATCTCTCATACAACATTTTAAGCTTCTTGAAGGAGCATCCTTCAGTACCTAGTACTATGCTTTTCTTATAAAAGATTCTTAATAAATATCAGTTGGATGGATGAATGGATTCAATTACATTTATAGAAGTTATACAATACCAGAATATATTATTAAGGGAAGCTGTAAAATCTTTTCCCATTAGAGACTTGAGAGTCAAACAGAAGACTATCTTTCCAGGATAGCTTAGACCAGGGATCTTTGACCTGGGTTCATGAACTTTTTTTTAATAAATATTTTGATAACTGTATTTCAGTGTAATCTGTTCTTCCGTAATCCTGTATATTTTATTTTTATGCATTTAAAAATATTATTCTGAGAATTCTGAGAAAGGGTCCATAGATTTCAACAGAAACCTGCCAAAGGGGTCCATGACACATTTAAAAAGATTAACTACTTCTGGTTTAGACATAGTTTTGTCTGGAAGCCAGGCATGATCATCTTAGATATGTTCTTAAAGATCTATTCAGCTCAGTGCTACTAAATAATTCAGCTTAATTATGTTTAATTTCCTAAAATGAACACGATATACTTTTTTATTCTATAAGTCTCTTAACATGTCTGCTTCAGTTTTCTCATTTCCAAAATGGGTATAATATTTCCTGAGCTACAAAGTAGAAACAAGTAATTCAAGGATAATAAAATGAAATTTATTGTAAAGTATAACATTTCCTATATTATTCCTCTATTTCTTCAAGCTATTTCTAATTTTTTACTTTGTCTCAGATAAAACTATGAATGGTCACAAATCCTCTATGATGAATGCTTGTTTATTAATTGGGTATTGAGGGACTGCAGTGGAGAAAGCCAGTGAAGAACCTGGCATATACAGAACTAAAAAGGCCTGAGGTTTGAACCTCCATCCAAAATAGCTAAGATTTCATTCTATCTTTGTAGCTTTTTACCAGTAATTATAAGAGATTCTTATAGTTTTTTTTGAGGTTCTTATACTTTTAATCTTTTTATTAATAAGTCTTATAAGCTTCCAAATAGCCGAGTCAGACAAACCATGTGACTTAGGACCATTTACCTCTAAGCTACACTGTCTTGGGTAAGCAAGACTTAGGAAGGGTAGACTGGCATCCTCTACAGTGAATTTTCTGGCCTCCAGAATGGAACAGAGGTTGAACAAAGGAAAATAATTCATCTCTGGGACACCTAGTTGGAGTAGGAAAGTGTAGTTAGAGATAAGTCACCAAGCTCCCAGATTCCAAAGGAAGGGACTACTCTCTTACCCATACAATTAACCTTACTAGGTACAGTCACTTATTGATTACATTAGCATAAACATATCTCTCACAGGAGAAACAAATGCAAGTAATTTGATCTTCACAGCAAGACAGTTACTATTATAAAATTTTATATTTTGTATGTAACTTTTATATTATATAATATATAAAAATATTATATATAATAATTTACAAAATATAAATTTATATTATAGAGTTTGTTTTTAAAATGAAAGCAATATTATAACTTACCTATGTTGTAATACCTCTTTAGCTCTGTACGTCTGATTTCTTTTAACTGATTATTTTTTCTCTTTTTTTTCTCTTCATCAGTTAAATATTCTGCCTCTTCCACAGGAATGCTGCAGTTATCTTGTTCAGAAATAACTGCTTTAGCATCTTCTTTTCCAGCCTGAGTTTTAGTAGTTGTGGTGCTGCGAGAATTGGCTGATGCTGTCTCAGCATTTTGTTTGGCTTGCTTTTTCTTTTTCAACCTAGGAGGGGGTAAAAAACATCATTAGAAAGGAACTACTTTGGTAACTTTTTTTTTTTTTTTTTTTTGTCTTCATGGGTTTCTGAAAATTGATTAATTGATATACTGAAGTCCTTTTCTTATATTGTTTTCAGTTATATGTTCCTGCTAATTACATTTACTTTTCCCATTTGCAACTATTAAATTCTTATGATGCTAAAATGCTGAGCTCCTTCCAGTTTATTTCTTTTCTTTTTTAAATTTTATTTAGGCAATTGGGGTTAAGTGACTTGCTCAGGGTCACACAGCTAGTAAGTGTCAAGTGTTTGGTCTGAGGCTGCATTTGAACTGAGGTCCTCCTGACTTCAGGGCAGGTGATCTATACGCTGTGCCACCTAGCTGCTCCACTTCCAGTTTATTTCTAAGAAATTCTATAAAAAGGTGCATTATTTAGACCTGAAGAAAGGTAAGGATTTTTCTAAAGATACATTTTTTCCTTAGGGATACATAAATCCTCTTTTGCAATCTCACAGTATGGGTTTCTTATACAAAGTACAATTATGCTTACTGTTTTTTTGAAGTTTTCTAAATTGATGTTCAAGCTAATATCTGTGAGATATTAGCCACTAATGATTAATTTACATCAATGTGCTTTTAAATCTGCTGCTATTAATTGCCTAGGATGCAGAAAGTTTACTATTACAAGAAGAACTATACTATTTAACTCATTTCCCCCAATTTATGCTTTCAACCATTCCTAAGCCACAGAAATGTAAATAAGTAGTTTTATAAAATTCAGTATATAGCATGTCTATTCACATTTTGCACTTGTGTTATTTTTTTTAAATACTCTTTCACTAGTCTACAGGGTTTCACCAATAAGACTGGAAACTCCTTCAGAACACAGATAATGCCTATTTCTGTTAAAAATATTAAACTGCTTGAATGTAATACTTTGAATTAAATTTTAAAATGTTATTTATATTTTTATTTTTCTATCATCTTTGTTTCTGAATATATGCTTCCAAGCATATCCTCTCCCACCCATAAGCCTTTCCTTATAAGAAAGAATAAAAGAGAGGGAAAAAAAAAGGACAGTTCCAAAAAATCAACATGCCAACCAAATTCTGACAGTGTATACAATGTTCCACACTCATAGGCTTACACCTCTGCAGATAACAGAGGGAGGGAGGCACATTTTCTTATCTCTTATACAGGGCTAAGCTTAGTTATTATAATTACATAGTATTCAGTTTCATGATTTTTCTTGTTGTTTTTGTGGTTCTTTCCATTTCCACTATTGTAGTCATTGTGTATTTCATCCTTGTATTTTCTGGGTTCTTCTTACTTTATATTAGTTCACGTAAATTTGAATTCTTTATATTCATCACTTCTTAAGGTGCAATAATATTCCGTTGCATTCATCTAACATAATCTGCTTAGCCATTCCCATTCATTGATATTTACTCTGATTCTAGTTTCTCGTCATCGCAAAAAGTGCTTCTATGAATACGTTGGTGTAAATGAGACTTTTTTTCCTTCTGTTTTTGACCTTTTGGCCTAGGTGATATATCTATCTAGAGGTGGTATCTCTGGGTCAAAGGTTATGGACATTATTGTCACTTTTTTCCTTAATATAATTATTTATTGCTTTCCAGGGGGAAGCTAGATGCTACAGTGGATAAAACTCCAGGCCTGGAGTCAGGAAGAGCCGAATTCAAATGTGACCTCAGATATTTACTAGCTGTCGGACTCTGGGCAAGTCACTTAACTTTGTTTGCCTTGGTTTCCTCATCTATCAAATGAGCTGGAGAGGAAAATGGCAAAACATTCCAGTATCTTTGTCAAGAAAATCCCAAATGGGGTCATGAAGAGTCAGACATGACTGAAAATTGATTTCCAGAATGGATGGCCCAATTCATAGTTCCATCTACAGTGTACTAACATGCTTGTGCACCCTCAGCTTTTCCAGGATTGACTATTCTCATCTTTTGCCATCTTTGACAATTTGCTGGGTATATGGTGAAACCTCATCCTTGTTTTGATTTGCATTTTACTTATTATTTTGATGAATCGTTCATATGGATACTAATAATTGTTTGCAATTCTTTTGAGAAACATTTGTTCACATCCTTTGACTACTTATCCTAACTGAGTAAAAAATTAAGACTGATTTGTTTTTTCTTCAGTTAAGGCATAGTCAGCATTTCAGTTCCTCTTTTAGATTTCCTTTGCCCTTCTGAGAACATGTACAATTTGAATGTGTGCTAATGGAAAAAAAATGTGGTAAGTAGAAAGAACAAGTCAATGGCATGAGTTGATAGACAATGAATTTTAGGGTTGAGATTTGCCAATGGCTTGCTTTGAAATGAGGAGTAAATTACTCCAACAATCCGTTTTAATATTTTTACTTATAAAGTTGAGGTGATAAAGTCTGTTTCCTCACAACTCATAATGATGGCATGAGGATAAATTAAGTTTTATGATACTTGTAAAATATTTTGACTCCTTAGGTGTTGGATTCCAACAATGTCATGTTGCTCTTATTCTTTGCTTAGCAGTCAAAATCTCAGTTTTCCACTGGCTAATAAATGAGAAAATTGCCTGGCAGGCATAGCGTGCAACACACCAACACTTTTCCCATCAGTGCAGACCAGTCATCCATTTTTTTTTTGGCTATCTAAAAAAATAATACCAGAATAGACAATAGGAGTCTTGTAAAAGAATCATATTCAGAAAATAATGAATAGATACTTTTCTCTTTTCTGTCATGAGTCAAACTTTGAAATATTGCTCTGGTAAAAGAGGAGGTGGTTCTTTTTTGCAAAGTGAGTTATACAAAATCTTCAAATAAAACAAGTTTTCCCAAAATCTGGATTATTATGGAAGAACTGAAATTAAAACTCAATATTCCTGATACCATGGAGACAAGCAAAGCAATCAGTAAAGAGTGCCTGAGAAGAATGTCTGTCTACAAAAAGAGACAATCTCACATCGAATTTTTCCACTACTGTATTAATTTTGCTGTGGACTTATGTTACCCTTAATGGCCAATAAAAAAATATTAATTGAACCTGGGTTACCCTTCAAAAGATAAGTCTGGTAGGAGAGGGAAAAGAAGGTAGCAAAGACTATTTCGATTCAGTTTGAAACTTCTAATTACTTAACAATGCTAATAATTTTTTTTCTACTTTAAACTGAAAGTCACTTATAAATGCTTCCCCTTTGTACTGGAGACAATTAAATTTGTCTCTGGGGCATATATTTTTAATGAATAGCCTAAAGCTTTCCCCTCTCCCCCCCTCCACACTCTAAAACACACTTGTGGCAAATTCCTTCACTTCTTTTGTTTCTCCCCCTCCTCCCACAGACAAATTCAGTCATAAATCAGCAAACCTCAAACTGCATAATTTCAAGAAGAACTGCAAAATAGCACTGATTCCAAACTATCTGTTTAGGAGAAGTTTTAAAGTTATATTTGAACATTTTCACAATTGCTTACTTCTCTCATTTTAAAAGTAAACATGACCTTTCACTCTCAACTACTCCCACCCCTAGGATATCAGCAGTATTAGGAATATGACTAGTTTGAAACTGTGAAAAAAACTATGAGCACAACTGCAAAAATCCTCCTCCCAGGAGAGGAAATACTTTTAAGCGCCTTTAAACTACTGTTTTCTTTAAGGGGAAGATTTTGTTAGTTTGGCTGATGTGATACATTTCCTGCTCAGTCTTTCCCCTTCTAACATTTTTTAAGGTTACACTTTTTTAATTTGGTAGTCAAGTCTTTTGTGTTTAGACTATTTTTTTTTTCTTTTTCGTGAGGCAATGGGGGTTAAGTGACTTGCTCAGGGTCACACAGCTAGTAACTGTCAAGTGTCTGAGGCCAGATTTGAACTCAGGTCCTCATGCCTCCAAGGCTGGAGTTCTATCTACTGCACCACCTAGCTGCCCCTGTTCAGACCAATGTTTTTTAAAAGTTAAGGATAATTATCATTGAATTAGTAAGAAAATTAGCTCTTTTCTTAAGAAGATCATTACAATTTTTTCGTTGAAGTTGAAATGTGGTTGGGGAAGGAAAGGATAGTTTTTGCCTCAGGGCACACATAATCAGTAAGCATAGATTAAAACCCTACTACGGGTCAAAATGTTAGGTACTGGTGAAACCAAGGCAAAAATGAAACAGTCCTTGCCCTCAAGGAGCTTACTTACATTTTAATAACTAAGTGATGCCTAAGTGTAATAGAATTAGTAGGATGACTGCTTAGATGTTAACAGAATTACAGAAGTTAACAATCTTATTTGAGGGTCACTCTACATCCTACTCCTTGACTTGTTCTTATAGTTTATCTTATTATCCTGAGCCCCAAGATAATCCATAGCTTTCAATCAAATAAGCTCAAAGCCCCCACACCAGTTCATCAAATGTTATTTAAAATACTGGAGAAACCTCCTTGTCCCACAGTAGTTATCAATGGCTTTAAGGCAGAATCTCAAAACTGTTTTAATCTCCACTCTCATTATTAATTATTTGAAAAGTTTTTCATGTAGCTATTATTACAGCTTGTATTTTTTCCCTTCAAGACTGCTTTCTCATTTTTTATTAATTTATTTTGATTTATCAACAATCACTTCCATAAGCTTTTGAGTTTTAAATTTTTCTCTCCCTCCCTCCCCAAGATGGCACGCAATCTGATATAAGTTATACATATACATTACTATTAAACATATTTTTACATTAGTCACTTTGTAATAAGAATTAGAACCAATATAAAGAACCACAAGAAAGAGGAAACAAAATAAAACAGAAGAAAAAAAAAAGAGCAAATAGTATGCTTTGATCTGCATTCAAACTCCATAGTTCTCTCTTTGGATGTGGATAGTATTTTCCATCATGTTTCTCTTATCTTTGGATCATTTATTTATATATTGGAGAATATCTTGTTCTTAGATATTTGAATCAGTTCCCTATATATCTTAGATTTCAGACATTTGTCAGAGAAACAATATGCTTCAAAGATT